TCTAGTCTTTCACTGTTAAATTAGGGATGGCTAGCGCAGATAGCCCTCGCGTAGCTTTGTGCGAAATTCAAAAACAAATAAACAAACTATCATTTTTATAGCGCACCCATTTTTCCACAATTCGAGACTCGTTTTGGAGCAATGGGATGCGAATCATGAACCTTCGGATTCTCATTCCGAGTACACTACTTACTAGGTCATAAGCAGCCCTAGATCGTCGCAGAGAAAGGGTTACTAATCCCAAGCTGTTTTCACTGAAAATGCATAAAGAATTATTTAAATAGCTTATTAGCCTCAAGCAAGATTTCAGAAACATTCGCTGTTAAACTGGAGCTGATACATCGCAACTTAATGTCTTAAGAAAGGAGGTAGATAATGCAAAAAAAAAGTGTAATTTTTTTTCCTGGCTTTTTTTTATAGAATCTTATCAAACGAATATTTACAGGGGTTGGGAAAATTAGAAACATTCAGTGAAAGCGTCTTAATAACGTGTGGTTTCACCTTTGGACGTTATGACTGATTCAGTTCTTTGTAGTAGGACATCAGCACGTTCCTGAAGGCACGGCAGTCTTGTTCACTCAAGATGATTTTCCAACCACTGTTACATTTACTTATTGAGACTTACAGGATAATTGCTATACTATAATAATCTTTGGTATTGTTCCTCTTGCAAAACCATGAGGTTGTACAATTTGAGTCACTAAAACACCTATCGGACACCTACAATCTGTCCTCTTTGAAAGTCATTAAGTCACACTTCTTTCTCATCATACTTGACACCTGATTTGGAGTAGAGCTTTACATGTGTTCAAAAAATATAGATCATCCGTTTAATTAAGAGGTCATTGTAATAACAAATTAATCGGTCAGTTGAGGATGTAGTATATTAAACATCAAGGGAAGAACGGGCCTATCTTTAAGAAGGTGTTTCTATTTTTTTTCACCCAACACCCGTATATGCACGAACCTAAATACACATTGTTTTTCTAATATAAATATTGAGGTTATCACTCTTAAGGAAGTGTAGTTGTTTGAAACCCGTCTGTCTTAAAAGCACTTATGGAAAGTGTCAACGTACAAAATCATATTGATTTAGTGCTTTTTTTCTACGACGGAATGTCTGTTATCGGTCATATACATTTGATATTTTTGACTGTCTTTATACAAGGAGAATTAACGTTAATACTATTAGTTTTATGTTTTTAGTTTGATGAATATTCTGGTAGAATTTATGAGGACTTTTCAAAGAAATCTCTATCATTTTATGAGCATATAAACGTTCACGTAAAGTGAAGGCGACAGAAGATGCATCTATCACATAATGATGATTTGTTTCCAAGACAACCGTTAATGTATATAAAATGGAAAATACGCAACATGTGTATAAAATAAAGCTATAATTAAAATAAGTATTTAATTTCACATGAATTATGTTATACAGAGGCATAATAAAACTTGACTTTAATCATATCTAAACAACTTCATCTAATTACTATCCTGTAACCAACGTTATGTTTATCTGTTTTAAAGTCATATTTATCTAATAAAAATGTTGGATTACGATGAAACAGATGCTGGAGTGTACTTTCCACGTTTTATGAGAAATGTTTCACATTTTAAAACACTGGCTGTTAGCGTTTCGGGCTGTGTATCGTAGAGACCAAAGTTCGAGACTTGATG